CTATTCTGTCACAAAAAATTATCGTGAACGTCTTCCACGTGCATAATTATTATTCTGTGAGGTGAAGCATGGCAGTCACGCTAGAGGAATGTACCAGAATCCTAACTTTTTTGGAATTTGGGCGGCGCCAGCGTGAAACAGCCAGAAACATTGGTGTATCTTTGTCTACTGTTCAGCGGGTAGTCCAGCGGTACCAAGAGACCGGATCACACCTTAGAAGACCAGGAAATGGCAGACCAAGATGCACAACGGCCAGGGAAGACAGACAACTGGTGGCTACAATGCTCCGAAATCGTTTTCAAACTGCTGTTGGTCTAAAAACTCACTTTATTCGCTTTGGAGGTGGCAATTTAAGCGTTCAAACAGTAAGAAGACGTCTTGCTGAAGCAAATTTGAAACCATTGAGGCCCGCAAATGGCCCCAAACTGGAAGGGGGACATCGAATTGCAAGACAGAGATACATGCGTGAGCACCTAAACTGGACAATAGACGATTGGTCTAGGGTAATGTTCACGGACGAGTCTAAATTCATGCTTTATAAGCATGATGGTAGGCAGTTGGTGTACAGAAGACCAGGGGAGCGCTTCCGTCAAGCGTGTGTGGAGGAAAAAGTGGCGTACGGTGGAGGCTCCGTACAAGTTTGGGCTGGGATTTCTACTGGGGCCCGCACCGAGCTGGTACTCATTCAAAATGGAACTCTAAATGCAGAGAGGTACGTGGAAGAGATCCTCAATGAGCATGTAGGTCCTTTCATGGCCAGGATGGACCGGCATGGCATATTAATGCATGATAATGCGCGTCCCCATACTGCCAGAATTGTAAATGACTACCTTGAAGAGGTCGGTATCGAACTCATGCAGTGGCCAGCGCGAAGCCCGGACTTAAACCCCATCGAGCACGCCTGGGACGAGCTTCAGAGATGCGTGAAAGGTCGAAACCAACGCTTCCAATCACGCTTCCCGAGCTCAAACAAGCACTGGTGAAGGAATGGGAAGGTATTCCTCAGCACCGGCTCCGAAATTTGGTGTACAGCATGCCTAATCGCCTGGAAGCTGTCAGAAGAGCTCGTGGAGGCAAAGTATTCAATGAAGAAAGTGATGAAAAACAGCAAAAAAACAATCATAAAAAAATGACATCTTAAGAAAAATATGACTACTTTAGTTTTTTTTTAATTTAGAGATAAGTTAAGAGTTAGAGAGTTTAGATTTAAGTTTTATTTTATTTTTTTATCTGTATAATTAAATTCTCAATTGAACAGTCTTCGTTTCATTAGGATGGCATACGTAGTTCGGGAGATATTCGGGTTTATGTGACTGACCCGTTATTTTTGGAAGCGAGTTTATATTTAAACTCTCTGACCCTCTTAGAGGTGGGTCCCTTGTCAATTAGGGGTATGAAAAATAGATGTTCGCCGATTCTCAGACCTACCCGATGTGCACTCAAAATTCCATAAAAATCGGTCCAGCCGTTTCGGAGGAGTATGGTAACTAACATTGTGACACGAGAATTTTATATATTTGATTATATTATGTACTTTACTAACAAAAGTTTATTTAAGATAAATATGTACAAGTACTAACAACTCTGTGCTTGGTGCAAAGGAGCCCAAAAACCTGGGTTGACCTGGGGTTGTTCTGCTCGTTTAGTTTCCTATGCCACCTATGGCATTACTTTCGCATAAAGATATTATTTGACTGGCCTCTTGGTCTAGTGGTTAGTGACCCTGACTGCTACGCCAGAGGTGGTGGGTTCGATTACCACCCAGGACAAATAATTGTTTGATGAGTACGGTCATTTGCTCTGTATCTGGGTGTACTTTATCTATAATATAATGAGTATTTAGAAATATATTTTTCTCAGCAGTCTAGTTACCATAGTACTAGTTTGGCCGTGTGTGAGATGTGTGAAAATAATAAATTATATTATTAGATGGTATTTTGCTTTTGTGAGTTTTTCAGTTTTACTTGCGAATTTCGACATGATGTGATTCAGAACAAATAACATGGGTTAAAAATAATGGAACACTTTGTTTAAATTCGGTATAGGTTAAGGAACTTTAAGCGGTGAGGCATCAGTTTTTTTTTATGTCAACAATGTGACCATCCAAACGAATTGTTTACTATTCTTACAAATGGCGTCGTCAGAGATATTACTGAACTTTCCTGCTTTTAGAATTTAACTACAACACAAAGATCACATTGATTTAGCCCTACAAACCTTGATGATAAGGCGAGGAGGGTAGAGTGATACAACGTGCGCCTACATTAACTGATAATAATTAAATTAGAAAATTTAACAAAAAATATTTCCTTTAATTTTATAAAGCATATTTTTCTATGCCATAGGAGAGAAAACGAGCAAATGGATCCTCTGATAGTAAGTGACTTCCAATGCCCAAAAACGACTCCAATTTAAGAGTCAACAGCATTCCGAGCATGATACTGCTCCGCAGTTTTTAATGGGATTGCGTAATAATTGCTAATGTTGTACAGGCGCGGGCATAACTCCAGTAGCACTTATGACCCTTGACTGTGCGCGTATGACCGTGCGGACTTATAGTTTGGCAGAGGGGAACGCCTGCGTTGCTTTGGGGATCACCTGTGTCTGATCCGCAAGGAGCCAACGCTCCACACTCTAGCAGAATGTCCGGCGTGGGTGGAGCAGAGGCGTGACCTCGTGGCGGCCATCGGGGTGGGAGATCTCTCGCTTGGTAACATGATATCGGCCATGGTGCGGAACGAGAGTGCGTGGAACTCCGCCGTCTCCTACTGCGAGCAGGTTATGCTTGCGAAGGAGATGGCATAGCGAGACCCGGAGAGCTTCAGAACCCTCCCGGCTCGCGGGGCCCGCGACCAGGCCAGGTACCTCAGACCGACCTCCGTCCTCCATAAGCGCAGGCCTGATGGTGAGGCCATCTGTCACTCTAGCAGAAGCAGGCCGGGGTGGGTAATGGCGCGACGAGCGACGGAGCGCGAGCGCCCTTCTGAGCAGGTAGGGAACATCCGGGTTCCCACACAGGAGGGGTCAGCTATAAGCCGTAGATGGCCTGAGGTACTCTACTGTACTGAGGTACTGAGGTCGGGGTACTAGGGCTTTCCTTTCTAGGGTATACCTGGTTCCCCGGCTACTGGTACCTGGAGTCGGCGTGCGGTTTTTAGTCGGTTCGAGTCCGACATAATCACCTCTCTCACTGTTTTATTTGACCTATGTTTACAAATCAAAGATTCTGATTCTGAAATAAGCCGCTTTTAGCAAACGAAATAATAAAATAAAAAGTACCGAAACAGTGTGCTGCTCCGGGGCGGGCCTACCTTAAGCTTTGTAAATCTAATAAGCAAGAAAAAAATGTTTATTACTTGTATAAAAATTTACTATACTCTATTTGATTGTATGTTGATGTAGTTTAGTCTATACCAATTTACGCCCACTTTTAAATTTCTTTCCGGAACACAATAGTGAGAGCGCCTGGTAAAAAAGTTATGGCAAAGTATTCTGTACCGTAGCTGTAGCGTTGTTCATTATAAATGTCTAATTATAATGCTTTTCTAAGTAAAATTTGTATGCTTTTAAAATACATTGTTATGGTGTCATAAACCTTCAAGTGCGGAACACGCCCACGCCCTGATATAAAACTACGCTCACTTACTCCTAAAGAAGACTTTGCCATAACCTTTTTGCCAGGCGCTTCTCTAATGTTCTAAGAAAATTTAAAAGTGATCGTAAATTGGTATAAATTAAACTAAATATCAAATAGAGTATAGTAGATTTGTATACATTTAACTACTATACATTTTTATGGTGGCATAAAAGACTTTGAAAAGCCTTCAGTTACGGAATTGTCATGGAGAGTATTCTCTACAGCAGGCCCACATTGGTTTGATTTTTACAACGAAACTAGATATACATTTTTTTGATTGAGTCTACAATTATATACATAGTGGGCCCGCCCCAGAGCAGCACATCCGTAACACGTTGGTAAACAAAATACAAAAGGTTCTGCAATTAATATTGACAATTAAATATGAAACATATAGTAAAAAGGAAATTCTGGTTTATTACGTCAATAATTGGTGAACGCGTTTAATGATTAAACGTATAAAGTATTGTTTCTCGTCTGGGCATAACAAAACTGAGCACAAATAACTTGTCACATTAAATTAGAAGTGCGATGGTTTGTGAGAATGCTTGTTTTCACTCAATTACGCCAAAAAGGCTTAACGGATCCCAGTGAAATTAGGCGCAGAGATAGAATATACTACTACTACTTTTTACTGTGCTACTTTTATTAAGGAAAATAAGATTGACATAATCGACATAACATCGCAAGAAGTCGCGGGTAAAAGATAGTAAATTATAAAGAATGAGCCTCCGGTAACTATTAGCTTAATTTACCTACTCATTTCTCGCTATTTACTTTACATATCGGGGTTAATAATCGAGTTTTCATCATAATTATTTGAAGCTCCTTTTTAGAACGGATCCAGTAACTTACCAGTGTTAACGGCATTGTGGTATTCACATTCGAAACGATGAGAACCACACGGTGATTCCGTCATGGTGACTAAATATTGGTGATTTGTCAGATGTAACCAGATAGGATAATTCATTTTCCTAAATAGTAACTCGATAGTAGTACTGAAATGTATATACTTATATAATGTATAGGTAACATCAATCAATCACCAGCCTATCGTTGTCTACTGCAGAACGAACGGAGCGCAAACATTCCGTTATTGGTCAGCCTGCATCCATCCTCATGCTGGAGAAGAGGGGGACTAAAGACCATAACCGCAATTACGTCTCCTGAATTGCAAGCGTCCATGGACAGTCTATTCCATAAAAAAACTGAACACAAGCCCGAACCATTTAATTTAAGATTAAAAACAGTATATTTTATTAATTACTTACTCCCTATTCATTTATTGATAATTAAATTCATTAATCAAGCAACGCTTAAAAGAAATTAACTTGCCTAAAATAATTAACGAAAGCCATAGTGTCTAAAGATCATTTCGTATCGACAATTGACCTGAATATTTTGATAGCACTCCTACAACCTCAAAATTATCTTGAACAATGTTCTTCTTTTTATACAGACTGTTCTCAATTTCTTGCAAACTCTTACCATTTGTCTCTGGTAATAGAAATATCAATAATATACCAGTAACCAATGACACGGTAGCAAAACCCCCAAATAATGTCGTCATCCCATAGTTTACAATAACCGCAGGAGTAACTTTAACAGATATAGATAGTAGCACACAACATACACAAGTACTTAAACCTGATCCAAATCCACGAACTGCAACTGGAAATATTTCAGCCACGAATGACCATGAAATAGCAGGTAAAGCTCCAGATGCACAAAGATACGCTATCGTAGCGGTAACTGCCAAAGATTCCAATCCTACTGGCCTTAGTAACAGGTACGCTAATATGACAAGTAATAATAAAGTAGTGACAAAACAGCAGACAACGTAAGTAATCTTTCGTGGAACGGTTTTGGATAATACACAGTAAATGACAGTCATGACTGTTCTTAAGCAATCAGTGGCTACCATAAATAAAAATGGATCTATGTTACTAGAAAAAGTTTTCTCAAATATCTGTTGAGCGTAAAAAGATAATGTGTTGACGCCACACCACTGTGCTGCTGCAAATATTACGAACGTTGTAAAAACAGACTTTATAAATGGTTTACTAAATATTAAATCCAAAACATCTCTAAAAGAAGTCTTCTTAGGTTTTCCTTGACATGTTTCCAAAACTGTGCATAATTCTTTATGTGAACTCTCTCCATTACCTCTGAATAATCTAAAGCATTTTACTCCTTCATCGATTCTACTTTTAGCTAGCAACCATAGAGGACTTTCTTTTAAAAATACAAGTATTATTAAACTTATAAAATTAGGTATTGCAAAAAGGTAACAACTGGTTTTCCAATTACAATATTTTCCAACCGTATGACTCACTAGAGTTCCAAATTGGATACCAGTAGAGTAAGTAATAAAAGCTACTGGTCTGTATTTTGGGTCAGTTACTTCTCCAACATAGACTAAGGTACTGGATCTTGATGCTCCAGCACAGATCCCTGTGACGATCCTGCCGATAAGCATCAGTAGGTTGTTGCCCGAGACGCCCATTATGATCCAACCGATGATAGAGGGAATAATAAGTATGATCTGGCCCATCTTTCTGCCGATCAAGTCGCTCAAACCACCTGAGAAGAGACCACCAATACTCATGGCTAGTGGTGAAATTGCAGCTGAAAATTGATATAGGAATTAAAATTGTTTGTATTTATGTTACCTATATGTTTCACAAAAGATATATACTATTGTGTAGACTTTTTTATGTAAAAACAGAAAAATTAAAATTATGTATCTTAAAATACTCGTATAATTTACTAATAATGTTAGTGATGATGATGATTTTAAATCATAATTATAATAGGATTTAGAATTTTTAGGTCTTCGAAAAGTACTCTTCGGTTATTATTAGTTAATAACTTTGGAGTTTATAAAACATGAGACATTTTTACTCTCAAGCTAGTATGATCGTGATTACTAAACGACTTTCAGAAAGAGAAATTCAATGGCCATGAACGGTTAATTCAATGATTAAACTAAAAGTATGACCTTATCAGGTGTAAGTGTTTTTGCTGGACTGACATAAATAAAGTAATAAAATAAAAATCATTTATTTCCGGTAAAATTCACCCTTAAATTATAAAATTATGTACATTACATTATATTATTATTTTAACAAAAATTGTTAATAGTAATTGTTTATATATATTTTCCTAATGTTGTAAGTAAAGATTTTTATGGAATGCGATAGAGAGGCCATAAAATGGAGCCATAGGAGTCTGGGTACGCCCTAGGAGGCGTCGGGGTTTCTGGACGCATTTATGGGTCGTTTGTCGTCGTTATAAAACTGTATAACATTACCATTGACTTCAAGTAGATCTTAGAATTGTTTTAGGTTTTCTAGGTTAAGGTATTCATCATCATTAACAACAGCCTATAATAGTCCACTGCTGGATATAGACCTCTCCTTATAAAAGAGGTTCTTACCTGCTATTGGTTATACCAGTCTCACACACACGAGTTTCAAGAAACTCACCCTATAGGGTTTGTCGGCGCTGCGTCTGCCCTTCGGCGACAAACCCTATAGGGTTAGTTTTTGTCCGATTTGAGTGGACCAAGGACGCAACAAAGCGGTCAGAGCCGCCGATAAACGCCGCGTCGGCGCCTTCAGGGGGTATTCTATTTTGTAAAAAGAGTTGTGGTTTTGTAAAAAGAGTCAACTCTTTTGTAAAAAGACTTGTGGCTATTGAAAAATATTTTTACACTTCGTTCGAAATAAGTATACCCTTTTTTATGGTCCGGTACGATACGGTTTACAGAAAGCTTTGGTGCGCGGGGCCCTCAGCATTTGCTATTCTTGCTACGTAGCTAATCCGCCACGGCTACTAAGAAGTCTAAGTCTAAGACTGCTCATTGACGAAGGTTTAACGAGGGTCTTCTGTCATATTTTGATCCAGGGACAAAATCTTGCCGATTATACACTTATTTCTGGGTTGGTGACGGGTTGGTGTCCCTTAGTCGGCTCGCAAACTACGCAAGACAACAGCACCGCAAAGAGAAGGAAAACTTGACACAAACCCTACACCAACGGGTCTGGCCAGCGTGGTATAGTAGGCCAAAGCCTCCTTTTAAAGGCTGTTGATGATAATGATGATACACGTACATGAGTATTACAACGAAACTAGACTTACCAATCCATGAGTCGAAGTTTTTATCGTAGGTGAAATATTCGTCCATTTCTAATTGTGGCAACAATACTGCCGTGAAGCCCATGATTATGCCTGTCGTGACAGATTGGAGAAAGGATGCGAACGTTGCACTGATCTGAAATATTGAGACAGATTTGGTAAAATGGGAAGCTTTTCTTCTAGAGTAATACTCGTAGCCTATTGTTATCTAGTCAGTGTATTTGAGAAATTGTTTTTACATTTGACAGCCTAATCTTTGGGAGAATGTAAAAACTTACCTCTGACTTAATAAAGTTATGTTAAGTTTAAAGGTTAAAGAAGCCAATATCAAGCTACACTTAAGATTTGGGCAGCATCCATTCAGGCCAGTGAAGCGGCGGAAATAAAATTCTCATTTCCAAAATATTTCACCAAGAAATAAGTTTAAATATTTACTTTCGAAATAAATTTTATGTTATATTAATACAAGTAACACTTTTATAAATACATTGTTATGCAACATTAGTAAAGCTACACTTAAGATTTGGGCAGCATCCATACACGCCAGTGAAACCGATAAGGTTGCTTAATTTATAACAAAAAAAATTACCTGTCTGTAAACATGAGCTGGTGCCATTTTCTTTCCGTTATTAGTTCGAAAATATACAACTGTACGTACTTGGGGATCAAGTCGTACTTGGGGATGTTTTCGTATCTTCGCTAGCTTTGTTTTCCCAATCGGCTTTTGTGTCTTATGCTTCGCTATCTAAAGAATCAATAAACAATTAATTTAAAAAATTCTACAAATCAAATTTTTATAACCGTTTGTTATCATAAGGTATAAAACAGGTAGGCAGAGTAACAAAGCAAGTGCTGGTTTTTTTTTTTCATTTTTGATGGCCATTCTATGAAGAGAGTAGACATTAACATAGAATGTATTTGCAAATAAATTGATTTGATTTAGAACGAAAACATACTTTAACGACATCTAACTTAGACCCATCGAACTAAAAAAGTAAGTAGTCCACTCGCATAGCGCTCAAATAACTTCCGAACATCAACCGTTGGGCCGCGGCTTTCTGCCATGATTACTTAGCCTAGATGGGTTCACACACATTAATTTCTCTCACACACACTTCGTTAACTTTTCTCATCAGTAATCAACTATATTCTTCATTTCTTAAGTTTCCACGCGTAGAGAAGTGTGTTATGTAATGCTTTTCTTCAAATTTGAATAGGTAAATAGGAATACCAAACGATCCTTTCAAATATATGAAGAGTTTTTTTAATCAGTTCACAAATTAAGCAGATCTGAATCTGAGGTAACAAACATAAAATGTCTAATTTGTAAGACCATAACAAGATGTTAACAATTGATTTATAGTTAAATTTAAGCTTTTAGATTTCACAGAGATTTACTCTGTTTTTTTCTCTTTAAATAGTGAAAGTCCCCATGTAGTAAAGATTACAATGTTTTCATTGACCAAGAAGCATCTGTTGTCGATTTAACCTAAATGGGACGTATCGTAATTAAGAGTTATTTGCTGTAAGATTTTTTCCAATGTTATCGGCGCGCGCCCGCATCTTTAACAATTATAACACCTCAATTGCTGTGACAACAGAATTATTTGAGTAGCGTCCTTATGCTCAGCCTTGAATACTCTTGTTTGAACGCAAATTGGGTCATGATTATTGCCTACCGGTGCTGTGGTTATGAGATTTCAGAATGACTGAGCTCTAAGGAATACAAAACCCTCCGCCCCCTGGTTATTCCTTGAGTATCATCTCTTCTAGACAGAGGAACAAGCAGCCAATGAGAGCTCAACAAATTTGAAGTCGTTTAAGCTCACTCGTTGTTGTTTTCTTAATCAGCATATCGTTTTTGACTGGCTTGTTGATCTCATTGTTAGTAGTGTGATATTGCCTTTTTTTTCCGTGCGGAAATCCCCTCGGATACCACCTATCGGTGGCATGTCGGACTCGAACCGACTAAAACCGCACTCCGTCTCGGGTACTAATAGCCGGGGAGCCAGGTACACCCTAGAAAGGAAGTCCCTGGTGTAGTGTGATATTGCCTGCTTGTTTTCTGATTGCTAAGCTCTAGGATCCGCACGCCGGAAAATATAATTGTGTGATGAGCATCATCATTTAATTTTGTTCTGTATCTGGGTGGAATATGTATATACATATATATGACTAGCTGAATCGCGCGAATTCGTCTCAGTCTCTTAAAAAAACCACCCTTTTTGCAAAATTTTCCACTGATGCACGGCTCCTGTTAATCGCAGCGTGATGTTATAAAGCCTATAGCCTTCCTAGATGCTATGCAACACCCAAAGAATTTTGCCTTTCGAATAAGGCGTTCCTGAGATTAGCGCATTCAACCAAACATACAAACTCCTTTAATAATATTAGAATTGATATCTCGAATTTTGACCGTTTTGAAAGTATTATTTATTTTTATTTCGACGTCCAGTATAACTTGAACTCTCGTGGTATAGATTTTTGTACTTCTATAGGTTAAAATATATACAGGACCTGTATAATTTTTTGTATCCGTTTATACATATTTTTTACTTTTATAGCACATAAAGTTAAAAAATGCTTTCTGCACTTCTTCTAAATAATAGGTCGTTACCTATGAAGTACGAGATTTTTGAAACCAAGATTTTCAGATTTAATTATATATCTGTGAATTGATGATCTGTGCCATGGAGAAACTGAAAATTCGTACAATTTTCGAACATGAGTTTGTCAAAAAGCTGGATAAGTGGGTGCCACACGAACTAAGTGATCATCAGCGAGACTTTGCGTGCATAGCACTACTGAATCGGCATAGAAACGAAGGAATTCTGAATCGAATTGGTACCTGCGATGAAAAGTGGATCCTGTACGACAACCGTAAGCGTTTGTCTCAGTGGGTGGGCCCGGGTACAGCACCTAATCAGTGTGCTAAAAAAAGATTACTCACAGGAAGATGATGGTGACAGTCAGGTGGACTAGTGTCGGACTTGTACATTACAGCTTCTTAGCGAATGGCACAACACTGACGGCAGATGTCTATTGCCAAGAATTGCAAACAATTATGGGGAAGCTTGCAATTTGACAACCACGACTGGTCAATCGCTCTTCCCAATAGATTTCTACCTTTTTCAATTTTTTATTTAAGTGGGAATAAGATCTAATATCCGAGAGCCAGTACAAAACGATTTCACTGACTTCATCGCCTCCCGTCCGGCAAACTTCTACAGTAAAGAAATAAACAAACTGCCATCAAAATTGCAAGGTTGTATAAATAATTTAACTAGTACTTTGATTAGCTAGAATAAAAAATAACTAATTTTTTAAAGTGTTAAAACTTTCATAGAAATCTCCAACTTCATAGATAAATACCTAATATAAATATGATGTATTCCAAACATGATATGCTTCCGTGCGCGTTATTTGGGGATAAAGGGATACAAAGAATATTCTTCACGTATCCATAAATAGATATAAGTATATTTCTTTTTATCATTTCTTGTATCAAAACAAGTCTTCTTTAAAAGTTTAGAGGTCAAACGAATAGACGGGTCACTTAACACTGGCACTCCGGTCGAGCCGGCCTATTTTTGTCGAAGTATGTCTCTCCTACGGTAAACTGTGGCACTCCTACGGTAAAACGGTCCCTAAGTGTTTTAGTAAGTTTCCCACCCCACGATTTCATTTGCAGCGGCAAGTCTTCTAGCCGGCACTGCACCATGGAGCCTGGAGGCCAAGAGCCTTGAATCATTGTACCAGAAGTTTTTAGGAAGAGGTGTACTTGAGAACAATATCAGACGACGTAACTCTGCAGGGCTCCTTGTTTAGGTGCCCCGGAGCCCCTGCTATATACGAGTACACACTTGTGACAGAACACTGTAAGGTTTTAGTCATCTGGAGCCCGACGTACTACTTTCCACTTCACCAAAGACTCTAGTGAGGTGATAAATGATCACCCAACGGGGTTAAACAGAAAAAAAGGGTTTTAGTAAACGAAATGCTCATATAACACTTCTCTTCAAGACATTCTTGAAATTGAAAGATTACAATGTCTGCAGAATGTATTTCACTTGTGAGAGAATGATTTTATGATCACTACAAACTTAATTTTATTAGCTCACCCACGAAGTATACTAGGAGAAAGTTTTATTGCTTTTTTACAATTGCTCAGAACACAGACCAAAGTTGAATACTTTGAACTATAATTAGTACTCGGTAAATGGGTTGATTTATCAACCAATATACCACTTTGAAAGAAATTCAGTTTAACACTGAACATTATACATAAGTGATTAATGTGAATGCCAGGCTATGTCGCGGTTAATGTATTAATAATAGTATTAATGTAAGTGCAAGTTTCATCTATTACGGTAAGAAAAACTTATTATACAACTAGCTGACCCTGCAAACGTTGTTTTGCTATGTAGTGTGTCTAAACACTAAAATTTTCATTTTCATTTTTATCCTAAAAATATTTGTTAAGTTCTTGTTATTGCTAAAAACCTATTTATATCCAATTAGTATGGTTAACAATCATAATATAAATTAACTTCATTCAAAATAATTTTTTTGTTCTGGTATAAAATAAATAAACCTCTTGCCTAGGGTGTACACTGTTTCGATAAATTACTGGAGGGTAGTCAGTAGTCGCGCGCTTGGGGAGTGCGATACGTAAGGAGAAATAATTAACAGCGGTTTATGTTTTTGTACTAAATATTCTTGTAAATAGATTGTTTACTCGTGAATATAAACTGTATACTTAGTGTTAGTGTTGTGAAGTGAGAATAAACTGTACAAGACTATTTCTTGGGACTTTTACTGGCTGCTCATGAGATTCATCGCTCGGCTACACACTAGAAGGTACGGTCCTGTACAATTCACTTCATTGGTGACCCCGACGTGATCTGAACACGCACGTACGCCGTTGAAGTCAAGGATATCATCACTTCGCCCCCAGCTACCGATAAATACGAAACCCTGAAATCGGAGTTAATTAAACGTCTGTCTGCATCGGCGGAACAGCGAGTGCAACAGCTGCTCGTTTACGAAGAACTGGGAGATCGAAAACCGTCTGCATTTCTCCGACATCTCCGCTCCCTGGCAGGACCTAAGGTACCAGATGATTTTCTTCGTACTCTATGGGCTGGTAGGTTACCTCATAATTTACAAACAGTGATAGCAACGCAACCGAAAACAACTCAGCTACAAAGCCTTGGTGATCTAGCCGATAGTGTGTACGATCTAGTACCGAGCGTACCCCGCACCACACAAGTTGCGTCATTAAAAATTAATTCTCAATCAAATAATGACGTCATGACTGAGATGGCAAAACAAGTTGCAGAGCTTACTAAGCAAGTTGCATCGCTTCAGGCACAGCTATCGCGCTCTCGCTCACACTCGAGATCTCGTCGTAGAAACCAGAATCGGTCTCGTTCTAATTCGAAGTACGGAGGCATATGCCGTTATCATGCGAGGTTCGGCAATAGAGCTTACAGGTGTTTGGCTCCCTGCAGCTTCCAGCCATCACACTCACCTGCGAGAAACGCCAGCGGCAGCCGACAGTAGCGGCTAACGACTGCCACACACACACCGGCCGCGTCTTCGTCACCGACAAAA